GGGCCCCTTCCAGCTGTAGAGAGGTTTGGGGCACATGACTGTGCTGTGGATGGGGCTTCAAAGTGACTCTGCTGCTCTGAAAACAGGAATTCCCTCTGCTTCTTCTTAAAAGTTGCTCCTCCCCTTAACCTTCTAGCACCAATCCCACCCAGCTATACGCACTCCCACCTCTCTGATTCAGGGTTTTAGACTGCAAGATCCTCAGGGAACAGAACTTGGGTTTTCAGAGTGCCAGGCAGACCTTTGGTAGCATATTAAATAATAATGGGTACTTTGCAAATATCAGGCCAAAGCAAGCCCTAGGGCAAGGAATACAGAAAGGAAAGTCTCATCAGTGCTAACTTCCAAGTTTTGTAGTTCCTATCATTTTACTTGTCTGGTCGCCCAGCTATTACTGCCTCTCTGGTTCTATTGAGACTGGAAGGTCACTGGGGCAGGGAATGTTCCTCACTGTTTGTAGTGTACTGGAGTAACAGCGCTGTCTCTCTTTAAAGAGATTTTCCCATCCTTGCACACCAAAGTGGCCTCTCCTTGGTAATCAAGACCCACTGAGAGCTGGATGGGCCATTGTGCACCCTGGTCTGTGGTGGATTTTCGCCATCAGCGTTGACTGAACCTCTTTTAGGAAATGCCATTGCTGGGCACGGCAGGTGAACTAGGTACCAGGGGTGGCGTGCAAAGTTCTACCGCTTGAGAGGTGGCTTTGTGAGAAAGAGGCAATCGGAGAGGTCTGCTCATAAAAGGAGAGTGTGGGGAACAGGCCCGAAAGCTGGAATGCAGCAGTTTGTTGATAAAAGGATATGGTCTCATTCCACTTTTGCTAGAACACGCAGTTTGACCTGTCCAAACCAAACAGGACCTGCTGATTTTATCAGTCTGCGGGAGCCAATATTTACTTAATTAAGGTACAACTTAGCTATTTAGTTCCCTGCTGATATTTGTTGGCTTCTGTCACGGGCTTGAGGCATGTTTGTTTTCGCCTGCACTTCAGGATTTACAGGCTATCGCTCTCTCTGGTAATCAGATCAGACTGTTCAGACCATTTTTGGTCACAGTGCTAAAGCAACGCTGTCAGAACAGACCATTCATCCCTAGGTGAGCATTCCCGAGGGGAGGAGATGCCACCTTCCAAAGGCATGGTGACTTTGGACATCTAGGTCAGTACTCACCCACTGCAGCCCAGTGACCAACCTGCCTCCCACTGCAGCCCACAAACTGCAAAAATAAACTGGCCATATCATTCGGAGGATCGAGTTCTGGTAGCCTAAAATGGGCACAATCTGTTTGCCCCAGTTTATTGCAATATTCATTGCTAGTGACCCAGCTCGATTATGTCTGAGTAGAACTCTTGGTAAAAGAGGGGTGGCCTTCTGGTTAAGGCACTAGACAGGGGCTGAGAAAATCTGGGGTCAATTCCCTGCTCTGCCAGACTGTGTGAGAGACTTTGGGCCAGTCACTTCACCTCTCCATGCCTCAGTTCCCCATCTGTAAAAAGGGGATAAACCTTCCTTTGCCTGCCTTGTCTATTCAGACTGTAAAATCTTTGGGGCAGGGACTCTCTCTTACTAGATGAATGTACAGCTCCTAGCACTTTGACCACCCTCTCTAAACTCTGCTGCTGCTCAAACTATCATGATTAGAATCCTACCAATTCACGACCATGAAAAAAGCAACACAGACCGTGAAATCTGATCTCTCCTGTGAAATCTGGCTAGTGTAGGGGAGGGGCAGGGCTGGAGGCTCTTACCCTGAGCTGGACTCCAGATGCTAGTTCCAGCTGGGCTGGGGGAAGAACATGACTTCCTCTTCCCCTGCAGGGCCCACTCCCAGGACCAGTTCAGACCCATTTCTGGGAACCTTCCCCGACCACAGGAAACTCCGCAGCTGCTTGCCGGGAGCCCAGCTCTGGGGACAGCACGACCATGAGCAGCAGAGCAGAAGTAAATGTGGCATACCATGACCCCCACTACAATAGCCTTGCAAACCCTCCCCCCCCCCCAAACCCCCCCCCCATTTTTGGGTCAGGACCCCCACAGTTACAACACAGTGAAATTTCAGATTTAAATATCTGAAACTGAAATTTACAATTTTAAAAATCCTATAACTGTGAAATGGACCAAAATGGATGGCAAATTTGGTAGGGCCCGAATCGTGATGAATGGAATACTGAGACCCCCCCTCAACCACAAAACATCCAGTCCTTCCACCCTCCCAGGGCTGGCAACGGCACCAGCAGGTCACGGTCCAAATCCCATTGTTTGCCATGTGGACGGTGCCCACAGGTCTTAGCTGCCAACCTAACACTGTTTCTATTTTTAAGCGGAAAAGTCACCCATGACCAGCTTTAAATCACCGCCCTTTGCGGCACAAATACCAGCAGATTAAGGACGCAGCAAAGAGGGACTAATCTAGGCATCTGAACCTTGGAGAAGAAGACTAGATCCATAGTCATTCAGGACTTCATGACAAAAGAAGGGACTGAGCTCACCATTGTCCTTGTTCTCGAAAACTGACTTCAGCTATAGGAGAATCTCATTTACCCTTCGCAGTTTAGGACTTCTGACACATAATTGAGCACTTCTGCCCTCTAATGGATGGAGTCAGTGGAGATTGAACGGTTCATTAAATTCACTTGGGTAACAGGCAACTCCAAGCAGCAGCTCATCCAGCAGGGCTGACTGCAACGTGACCCCCTTCAATAAAGCCTGGCAGCTCAGCCCTGCAGGTTTCCTGCTGGTATTTGGTTTGGCGATGGCCAGGATCAGGGAGTGGCCAAGACTTCCCTGATGTGGTGGACATGCAATGACTTAGCAGCAGGCCTTGTACATGGTGACGTGAATGTGCCGCTGCCCCATCCCAATAGCTCCCCTCCTTAGTGACAATGTGCAGGGACTTTTGACTATGTGCAGGAAGCATCTGCTGCTGCCAGGAACTTAATGAGAATCTGGCAGGGGAACCACACCAAACAGGAGCACTAGGCTGACACATACCCAACTCAGCCAACAGGTCTTTTGTTCCTGTGCCTGGCTAGCCACCACCACCAAACAGCAATCATAGCATCACAGCAATGTAGAACTGGCAGGAACCTCAATAGGTCCTCTAGTAGTCTAGTCCACTCCCCTACACCGAGGCAGGGCTAAGTATTATCTAGACCTCCCTGAGAGGTGTTTGTCTAACCTTTGCCCAGACACTCATGCTGCTTCTGGTGTTGCCCTCCCCTTTACATCTCAGAGCAATATTAACGATGTGGAGGGTACAGCACAGCCACAACCATAATGGAGGAGGTGGATGTGTCTCACTGACACCAACTTTTTGCTCTCCTGTTGACATCCAGGTTTGAGCATTGGCCTGCTAAACTCAGAGTTGTGAGTTCAATCCTTGAGGGGGCCATTTAGGGATCTGGGGCAAAAAAATCTGTCTGGGGATTGGTCCTGCTTTGAGCAGGGGATTGGACTAGATGACCTCCTGAGGTCCCTTCCAACCCTGATATTCTATGAATACACCCTCAGTGCAGCTGCAGGTCACCTGCATTTCCAATGCCGGCTTCCCCTGCCAGCACCAAATCTCTTCTTTTCCGTAGTTAAGTTGCACCTTTGGGACGCAGACTTGAGCACAATCAAGGCCCCTCTTCAGAGGGAAAGAGAAGCTGAGCCAGCAATCTATTATCCGGGCAAACGTTTCTCCACGGACGCCTCACTGCTGTCATTTGATATTAACATCCTGCATGAAGCCAGTGAAAGACTATTACTGTGAATTGCACTGTGGGATAAACGGATATTGGAACAGCCTTGTAATATTTTGCATCATTCGTTTGGCAGGGGAAGATTTTAGAAACAAAGTGAATAATGCGACTGATGACCCTGTTTCTCTGGATCTTAAGTTCTTACACAGAGGCCTAACTAAGCATCGGAGTACTCCCACTGACTTCACTTGAATGGCTCGCAGGCTTACAATTGGGCATCTGCTTCGGTACCTTGCTGAACTGGGGTTGCAATGCACTGTGGCATCCTTCTCCGGACTGGACGCAAACACTAAAGTTCCTGACCAGTGGCGGTCACTGAAGAACCCACCGCACTTTCTGTAAGAGTGAATGGTTGAGATTTTCAAAGCCGCGCAAGGAACCGACACACACTATCACCAATGGGAGATGCGTGTCTATATTCTCTTAGAATGCTTTCCAAGTTTTAATCAAGGGCATCAAGCTTCATGACGTGCCCCAGCAAAATCCATCTCTGCTAAATTGCATGCCGCCAAAAGCAAACTGCAGGTGGAATTTGCCTCCATTTTCCACGCTCTAGCGTTGCCGTGCACTGCTGAACACCTGACCCATTTTAACAAGGGGCAGGCAAAGCAGCAGCAAATGCACAAGCACCCCCCCACACACACACACACACACACCCCTGCAAAAATACGCTGCTGTCCTGCCTCAAAGAGGCTTGTTGTTTCCATGGCAACGCACTGGTTTTTGTGCACGGCGCTGCACCACAGGCACCTTCAGTTAAGCAACTGTAGTGATGACTGGATTTTAAGACTCTTGACAAACATTTGTAGCTGTGCACACAACGAATGGGCTAATCACGCTGCAGAGCGCAAGCTGATCCCATGCTCCACCCTGCCCAAGGAACAGCCCTGGACAATCAGACAGCTTCTTCTGGTTACCTGCCTCGGAAACATGATTTGATCCCCCTGGCAAATCCTCCCAGGTAAACTAAGTAGAGAAGCTAAAAGCTCATGTTAAACCACAGCCGGGCAAGAGCTCTGAAATCTAAAGGGACAGGAATTTAATTGGGAGGTGCTTAAAAAAATCGTGTGTGTTGGTGAAGTGTAATTAGCACTGAAGAAGCCGAGAATGCCATGCCGTCATCTCTCTGCAACGCACTGCCCCTGCTTGCCAGAAAAGCAACCCCCCCACTCTCCGCTCTTCATATAAAACTCCAAACACCCTCTTATCCCATTTCCCTCCCGCCAGCCACCCAGCACAGGGGCTCCCCAATCCGTACCTGGCTGCAGTTTTGCGTCAGTGTATTTTCTGGCGAGGGTTTGTTCTGGGGCTGTCCTTGTTGGCTGCAGTCCAGCTGAATCAGGCTTCTGCATTCCTGATGGCAGGTATATTTGCAATCTAAGCAGGGGGAAAAACAAACACAAAAATGAAGGATGCTTTAGAAATAATGACTGGCTTTCAAGAGGGATAAAAACAGAACAAAGAAACAGTGAGAAATAAAAGGGATCAGATTACTGCTGAAGGTCAAACTCTCAAGTTACAGAACCCGATGTTCAGGATGGCACCACTGCAAGTGAAGCATGCATATGCCTACCCAAATTGCAGCCACAGTTATTATTTCCATTGTGGTAGTGCCTCCAAACCCTACACAGGCCTCAGGCCCCATTGTACTAGGTGATGTGCAAAGAAACATTTACTACAATGACACACATAAATGGTCTATCAGATGCCGAATTGGTTATTTGCATGCACATTTATTGTGACCAAGCATGCAAATACATGCGCAAACCAGACAGCTGTACACATGAAGTACCAATAAAGACTAGTTAATGGAAATTGTTGCAGACTAGCGGTTGGAAAACTGGGAGTCAGGACTCCTACGTCCTATTCTTGACTATACTATTTAGAGTGACACACCTTGGGCAAATGATGACCTCACTGAGCCTCAGTTTACCCATATGTGAAATGAGGGTAATAATACAGCCCTCTCTCATGGGGATATTGAGGCTTTCACTAGTATTTGCAGAGTACCCGGATATCCTGAGACAAAAGGTACCAGAGAAGCAGCAAATAATCACAATTGTTAATGGGCTGAAGTTTACACTTTACCAGTGAACAGAAGCCTATGAGTATTGGCTTGACATAGAGGTTATTCAAATGATCTCGGTGATGTAACTGGTTTTCACATCGTTACTTTAGCAGCGCTCCAAGTATACGTGGCGCTTTGCAGACCAGCCCCACCACCAGGTTTCTGCCTCAAAGAGCATTCAGTCTCAGTGCCCCACATGGCATCTGTCAGATGGAAAAAACTAAAACAACAGCCTCACCTACATGAAACACTAAACACTACACAGGCTTTGATGCCTCAGCGCTTGCCTTAAACATTCATTTGCCATCAGAATGCATAAAGGCAAAAATAATAATGAAAAAAAAAACCTACTCCCATTTAGGCTAAGACACTGTGGCAGAGAGGCAGGTGAGCTCTAGAGATTAGCAGCTGGTGATGCACCATGAGAAGGGGGAAAAAAATAACCCATAAACCCAAAGTGTGAAGAGCACTATAATTAAACATGAAAAAGCCAGCTTGCCCCAGTACACGCACGACATTAGCAATACTTGCATGAGTAGCAGCGAGTACTTTTACCCATACACAGAGATAACTTACAAAGGGGAGAGAGTAATTTTAGCACTGCGTTGCCACGAGCAATGAAAAGCGTTGCAGTGTTTTCTTCCCATTTCTTTCCTTTTATTTCTACGTGGAACACTTCGGAAGGAAAATATCAGGGTTTGGTTTTTTTCCTGTTCAAACTCTAATTTCTCAGATAAGCCAGAGACACATTCTTCACAGGAGAAATGCCGTACGCTTTGGTTCCCAGAGTACCGTAAGAGTCGTAAGCACACAAGAGTCACTCACTCAGTACAGTGCATTGTTTAGGTTACTTGGAACCAAGGACACATCTACATTTGCTGCAAAGGTGATATAAAAAATATGAAGACCCTTGTCCTGTAAATTGTTCCATGTGGGTACTGAGCTCTGCTCAGGTGGAACAACTTGAAGAGGATTCGGAGTGAGACATGGAACCACTGCAAAAAAATAAATAAATTAATCCACATTTCTTTGATTGAGTGGTTTGTGTTTCCTAGGGCAAGACGTTACACTCGACTCCAACTAGTGCACTAAGAGATGTGCCCTCCCAGATATTCAAACAGAGAGAGAAATACTGACCCCTTTCCCCTCCAAAAAAATTCTGAACTGACCCATACAAGAAACCATTCACAGGTGGTCAAGCTACGGATGAGACGAGCCCAGAATAAGATCCCAGTCCCAACGTCACACACTTTGGGAGCATTTGGATTTGAACTTGTGTCTCTGGCTCCCAGCTCGCTAACCAGCTGGACCAAAACCCCACTCCAGAAGCAGAGCTGGGATGCAGTCAAGGATTTCCCAGCTACGAGCCCTGTATTTTTCCACTAGACCATTACCAGCATCCCACCTCTCTCCTCCCAAGCAGAGGAAAGGTTCATAGATTCGGATTGGTTTCTCAGCATGGAAAGTATCTCAAAGTGGTGAGGAGAGAGAGAAATGGTTAGAACTGTGGCAGCGGGAGTCTTTAGCACAATCCTGCTTTCTCTTGGTGGGTGAGGAAATGTATCTAGCAGGGCACAAAATTCTCTGCTACAGCAGTGCCTGGTCGCTCACACCCTTGCCCAAAGGAAACCTGTACTAATTAAAAGCTGACACAGGTGGAGTTTCCTGCCTTACTCTTGACTAGTTTTTCTCCTGATCTGAAATGAGAAGTGCTGACACTTGGATACACAGAGTAGAAGGTAACATCCCATTCCACTCAATTCACAGCACCTTGCAAGTCTTTATAGCAACGCTCCTTCGGGCGTCGCAGCCGATATCTCTCCACATCTTACTGCACCTCTTGTGCTGGGGTCTTAAGAGACTGTGATTTTCTAGCAGTAGAAGAACAAGTCTATTGCAAGGCTCTGCTAAACTGAAGCAAGAACCCTTCCTTCTGATACCAGTGACGTAACCAGTAACTTGTACGTAAAGTGTTGGTTTGATATTTAAGGCCTAAAATAGGCACCATTATCAACTAGTTACTGGAAGGTAGGACTTCTGAGTTCTATTTCTAGCTCCGACATTGACTCATTGTGTGACACGGGGCAAGCTGATGCAGTTGAGAAAAAGGGTAACAACGTTCTGGGGTGTATTAACAGGAGTGTCATATGTAAGACCCAGGAGATAACTTCCGCTCTACTCAACACTGGTGAGAGCTCGGCTGGAGTATGGTGCCCAGTTTTAGGCACTGCGCTTTAAGAAAGATGTGGACGAATTGGGGAGAGTCCAAAAGAGAGCAATAAAAATGATGAAGGTACAAGGAAAAGTTAAAAAATCTGGGCATGTTTAGTCCTGAGAAAGGACGACAAAGGGGGACCTGATAACAGTCTTCAAATATATGATGGGCCATTAAAAAGAGGATGGTGATCCACTCCTCTCCACGTCCCCTGAAGGGAGGGCAAGAAGCAATCAGCTTAACCTGAAGCAAGGGAGATGTATGTTATACATTAGGAAAAACTTTCTAACTAGAAGGATAGTTAAGGTCTGGAACGTGTTACCAAGGGAGGTTTTAGAATCCCTCTCATTGGTTGTTTTTAAGAACAGGTTGGACAAACACCTGTCAGGGATAAGAACATACGAATGGCCATACTGGGTCAGACCAAAGGTCCATCCAGCCCAGTATCCTGTCTTCCGACAGTGGCCAATGCCAGGTGCCCCGGAGGGAATGAACAGAGCAGGTAATCGAGTGATCCATTCCCCATCACCCATTCCCAGGTTCTGTATGGTCTAGGTTTACATGGTCCTGCCTCAGCACAAGGGCTGGCTAGCTCGAGGTTCCTTCCAGCCCTGCATTTCTATGGTAAGCCCATTTCACATCTCTACGCATCCGTTTCCCCCATCAGCAAAATGGGATAACACTGAAGGACAGGCCAAGGCTTTGGGCACTAGCCTGGGACTCAGTAGACCTGGGTTCAGTTCCCTACTCCTCTACAGACCAGGAGTAAGTCATAAATGCCTTGTCTTCACCGCTGGAAAGGGGGTCCCCCGCCCTTCTTTATGACAAGGTGACACTGGTGAGTTATCTTGGGGTCAGATCCTAAGAGGAGGTGAGGCACTTGGAGTGTTAACTGTGAGGTAGCCAGGTGAGGTCAGCACCATAGCCCCTATCCGTGGTTGGCCTTGCAGTAAAGCGGAAGTGCCCTGGCTTCACTACATTTTTACAGCCAGCCAGAGAGCTAACACCCATAGTAAAAAGAAAGAGTTTGTCAGTGAAGACACCCTTAGTCTCTCTGGGCAGCAGATCCCCAGCTGTGTAATGGGGATAGTAGCACTCCCATGGCTTACAGAGGTGTTGTGAGGATAAATACATTAAATATTGGGAGTCCCTCAGATACTGTGGTGATGGGGGCCAGATAAGTACCTAAGATGAATACTGATCTGCTTTTTATAAGCCATCTTGAGAACCTTGGATTAAATAGGATTATGCAGGTGTTTAGTATGATTACATAGCAATTTATAAGAGCAAGTTTAGGAAGAAAAGAGGTCTCTCTGTATCAGCACTTTCATTGCCAGTTACTGTAACTGAAGTATGTACCTAAATCATAAATCTATTGTCAGATTCTGCCTGGAAACGCCCTTGGATAGGATATTGGAAATTTCACATGGTCTCAAATGTACAGCTGACATGTTACCTAGCTCCCTCCTTGTACACACACCGCCTAGGCACAAACAAAGAACTGACACGGCTTTTCTTGGAAGATGATCTGTGTTACTGTAAGATGTTCAACTGCTCGATAAAGCAGAAGCTCCATAAAGAACTTTAGGAAGTGAGCATTTTGCTTTGGCCTCTTTTTGTTATAAAGAACGATTTTCAAAGGCAATTGCAGCACAGCAAAGTTTGCATCCTGCACCACATGTGGCTTGACCATTTCTCTTTACTAAAAGCTACGTGTTGGCCTAAATTTGTTGCCGTTCTCCCATCCTCCTCTGTCAAAGATTTGACTTGAATGTAGTTTACTAACTACAGCTAAAACATCCTGTTGGTATTTACATGACCCATGTGAGCCTTTTCAATGTTAACTATATTATAACCGAACTTGCTTTCCCTTTTACATTAGCCAAAATTCCAGAGACGTTACTGGGGGAAAAAAGTAATTCAGTCAACAGCATTAGATTGGCTACCAGATATTTTCCATAAAGCAAAATGTGTATTGCACTTGGCATCTGCTGCTGCAGCAAATTAAAATATCACAGTGGAGCTTTCAAAAAGATAGTAATTATCCAACCATTCTATCTGGCTGTGCTTAGAGATGCATATTAGCTCTTGCAT